GTACTTAAGCAGCCGTAGGCTGCCTACTGATTCAAAATCAGTACGACACACACATAACTAGCGTGTTGTTGTTAGAAACGTTGAATTGCCATATAATGGGATCCGCTGTCCCACTGAGTCTAAGTTGCGCAATCGTCAATTCGGGGGTAACCTGTTTGACCTGAAACTTGAGCTTCTTGTATGCTCGACCCGTTCATCATTGCAGGTCATTCATCTTTGCAAGCTTCTTGCGTCCTTCTCTTCCTCCCTTCACAGCACTCTGTCTCGTTGTTTTCTGTTCCTATTCCCCTCTCTGACACCCTCTCTTATGTTCTCTTCCCCGTGGCCATTCTATATGTCAATGGCACTCCTTGGGGCACACAAAGTGCATGTTGCTCCTCACTTCTTCTGCCCCCACCTATCCTATGCCAGCGTTAGCTCACATCCACGGACAATGTCCATGTTGCTGCATTTCATTCCTTCGATGCATTCTCGGAAATCTCGCCCTCTAGTGGAGCTGCGCTGGTTGACCTTCCTGTGTCTACTACACCCGCATTCATGCTCATCGTGGCAGAGATCTCAGTAGAAATCAACTCACTGGCACAATTCCGGCTTCAATGGGGCACTTCGCAAACCTGACTTATTTGTAAGCTCCCGGCAAGGCCTATGCTTGGCTGTACTCTAGCTTCTTCTCGTCTCTACAGTCCGCCATTTCTCCTTCTTTTGATGCTAGTCCTGACGTGTGCACTCCATTCTCCTCTCTTCCTTCTTATCCATTTCTCCCATGTGTTCTTCCTCGTGGCCATTGTACAGGTGGATGACACTCCTTGGGGCACTTAAAGAGCACAGCTTTCCTAACTTCTCGTGTCCCCATCTATCCCCTGCCACTGTCCGCCCACATCTCACCGACAATGCCCATTTTGCTGCGTTTCATGCCTTTGATGCATTCTAAAAATTTCGCTTCCTGATGGAGTTGCTTGCTCCAAGTAAGCTTAGTGCCATGCAAACTGAAGGTTCCTGCATCCACTGCATGCCCATTCATTCATACTCATTGTCGCAGATCACTTGCTGTCAATCTATTCAGTGGCACAATCCCCACTACAATTGGCAACCTTGCAAAACTGGAAACTCTGTAAGCCCCAGCAAGGCCCTTGGCTGTACGTAAGGTTCTTCCCCTCTCTACTCTTTGCCTTCTTATCCTCTCGCATCAGGCAAAGAACGAGTCCTTCCTCACGTCTCTTGCCCCCATCCATCCCCTGCCACTGTCAGCAGGGATGAGCAAAACCCGAACACGAACGAGTTTGGGTCGATCGAACAAAAGCTCAAAAGCCAAGGGCCGTGGGCCAAGGGCTCTCGAGTTTGGTTCGAGTTTGGTTCGACTCAAAAGCTTCTATGAAAAGGGTGTTCTAGTGTTCGCCTTTGTAGGTGAACACTTATGTATTTGCCTCGAACACCACAATCATGTTCGAGGCGAACATGTTTGTGTTGTGTGTGTTCGCCTAGGAGGTGCATTTCGCTATAGTCACATTACAGACGACATTCAATTCTGCAATGTACTTGAAAACCTTACTCCTTGAAAATTTTGATTACAACGATTGTCAATGAAATGAAGCCCCAGCAAGGTATAACGGAGGAGGACCTAGCTAGGCGGGAACCTCAGTAGGCGAGGTTGGGTGCTGGTCTGGAAATGCCAAGCCCAAAGGCAATGCGAGTCAGTGGCCTCGGGAGGCGAGGTCATCAGATCGAGCCTAGTCTTCCAAAAAGGTGAATAAAGGTATGCTCAGTAAGGAATAAAAACAACTTATAGAATGCCCTTCAGCCTCTTGGATAATCACAGACATGAGTGCGAATTTATAGAGCGGGTCTATTTGGTCCAGGATTGGCAACATGTGTAGCTTGTAACGTCTGACATTGGAAATTACCCGATGCTGGCATTGGTATTCCCTTCCTTTTACCTGACATTCCTTGCTTCCATTTGTCATGCAGGCATGAGAAAATGATCAAACATGTGTTCGGTTCAACTAGAACATGTAGCTATTCGATTCAACCATTATCGTTTTGCTCAGAAATTTCAGCCATGGAGAGTCGAAAACAGATATGTTTGACTGCACATGTTGTGCGTCGCGAAGACTCTTGTGTTCACGTCAACAATAACGCGGCTTGGGACGCGCTGGTTGACATTCTAGATCGTTTTTTTTTTTTAGCTCATACGCCCTCATGCCCGCCCCACATGCCTCTGTTCTCATGTTTGATTATAAGAAGCCAACCTCTTGATTTTTTTTTAGAATAATCGGTCTTTTACCCGCCGTATGCCGTGTTCGACACGGGGTGTTGACGAACACCAATGTGTTTGTCAACGATTTGACCCGCGACCAATGTTTAGGTCGCGAGTCAATGTGTTTGGGCTCATTTTCCGAGCGAGCATCAGTTCTCCATCACATAACTTTTTAGGGTACACGGTGGAGTTAGGGATGAGCAAGGTGGCGAACACCAGTTCGGTTCGCCTCGAACAGGTTTTGCTTCTTAGCTCAAATCGTTCGTTGAACAGTGTTCGATGTTCGCCCGAACACATTCGTGTTCGTGCCGCTGCTGAAATTTGCCCGCGACGAACACGAACAGTGTTCGAGGTTCGCCCGAACAGGCCTCCACAGGCGAACAGCGAACACCTGTTTTTTCCTAAACTGTTCGCCGAACCGAACAGTGTTCGGTTCGGCAAAAGAGGGTGTTCGACAAGGGGCGAAAACGAACATGTTCGTGTTCGCCCTTTGCTCATCCCTAGGTGGAGTAATAGATAGAACACCACAGTACTCCACCACAACACCTGTAACTTCCCTACCAATAATCTGGGAGGGCCAATTCCCCTGTTTGCCATGTGTGACTGTAGTGAAGGTTGTCCCTGGGCGAACACGAACGTGTTTGCCACGAACACATTCGTGTTCGCCAGTGCCAGCAAGGTGTTCGCCTTTACCAGGTGAACGAAGGTTGTCCCTGGGTGAACACCAAACACCTATTTTTCCAAAAGGTGTTCGTGCAGGGGCAAACGAGAACACATTCGTGTTTGCCCCTTCCCCTACCTGGCCCTGGTCGGGCTGGCATGGCAAGAAAACCGGCCCTCGCCATGCAACCATATGCTGGTCGGGGTCGTGCCAGGCGGGATCAGGCCAGAACCCAACATAGTTCGGGCCCATTACTCGGTTGAGCTGGAGGGGTGGTTGATAGTCCAATCTTGGCCCAATTGTTTGAACAGCAAGATAAGGCTGGCCAAAAATTGAACTTCCCAATAATCTTGCCTCGCCCTTTACCAAGTTGATTGGTGCAGGTCAAAAATGTAGGCACCGTCCCAACCAAACCCCTCCTTATTTATCCAAATATATATGCTCGATTATTTCAATTACAATTTCTCTCTTTTTCATTTTGTACCGTCCGGACCGGACCCATGCCCTCCCTCACTTGACCCCTCTTCCTTTTTGGGCTGTTGCATCAGCTCTCTCCATGACCAACACCCTCTCCTTTGCATTATCATGTGGTCCTGGTACAAGTACTATGCATGTGACTGGAGTCATAGGATTCTGTGATTGTGACCACACATGGCAGTGTCTGTCTGCAGACTTGCACAAAGCATACTGATTCTGACACGACTCTGGCTAATACCTCTGTGCCGGTTGGTTAGGTAGAGTGAAGCCACATTGCTTTCTAGGGCTGAGAGTGTGTGAGAGCTCGCTGGAGTCAGATTTGGGTAGATTGGCAATGCAACTTAGTAACTTTTTTCTACTGTAAGGCCTTGCTGCCTTAATTCCTACTCATGTATCATTGTCAAAAACTGGACCATTGAACTCACGGGCTCAATCGCCATTGCAATCAATATCCTCACAAGTACAGCACAAGTACAAAAGTACAACAATGAAAAGCTATGATAGAAAAAGTGCAAGACTCCAGCTTCTGCTTCTTATTTCAGCCATTTGCCCTCCTCTTGATGCTAGTCTGGACACTTGCTCTCCATCGATTCCTCGTCCTTGTTGTCCTCTTCCTCTATCTTTATTTTTCTACCTCTCCCCTGCAGTGATCTCCACCGCAACTACCTCACAGGCCCCCTGGTGAATCTCCCATTCTCCGAAGTGGACTTGACCGATAACTACCTGTCGGGTGTTGTGTCTGCACAAGACTGCCGTCGACTCAACATCTCTGCCAACTGCTTCTCACCCAAAGCCTGCAAAAAAGCCATGCAGCGGCCCATAGCACAGTGCATGGGATTCTGTGGCATCTCTCCAACCGCTTCTGCCTGTGGTGGTTGGGGCGTGTGCTATCCGGATGGGCCTAATCTGGTGCCAACGTGCCTGTGTTATGCAGGATTCTTGCAGCTTGGAAGAATCACCTGTATTTCAGGTGGTAATAAAGAACCTTTACATCATTTCAGAATGCCAAAGTACTGGGTTTATGCACGTCAGATTCTTTGTGCTCCTTAAATTATGCACTGTTCACACATTTTCTCTAATTTTTTATTTGCACACATTGGTTACCCCATGATTTGCTGCAAGTTGTTCGCTGATGTTGGGTCTGTTGGATTTCAGCTACCACACACACAACAACTCCTTCGGCAGGCACAGACACCATATAAGTAGATCTTACCCTCAAAGCGTTGACCACATGATTCAATCTGAACAGCTTAGCACAAATTCAATTTCTCCACCACTCCCACTCTTCCCCGTGCACTGCTTCCCTTTCGTCGCAAATTTTCAGGCTTCCAAGGTAATATTTTCCCGCCATTCACAGTGCTCACCAAGGGCACACAGCAGGAGACGGTGGGAAAGTTCATGGCGAAGCCAGTGACTCTGTTTTCGTACCCAACTGGTGTATCCACTTTTGGACGTGGCTTGGAGTTAGCCTTCAGAGTCAACTTCACCTTTGCTCTCGTGCCCCAGTCGGATACTGCTTGGTCCAGCGGCTTTGCATTTGTAATCGCGGCAAAGCCCAAGGCGGGGAAACCTGGTGGTGTGGGGTATAGCGGAGTGGGACCCAGGAGCATGGCCGTTGTATTCGACACGCTTCAGAATGATGCAGGCAAACAGCGCGTGGGGCTGAGCATCAACGGCGCAGAAGAACCCTTCGTCAAGCGGGTTTCACCGTTCGCTTTCACTGATGGCAATGCATACACCGTGTGGGTGGACTACGAGCCTGGAGATCCCGGCACCATTCAAGTGTTCCTGGCGAACTCAAACGTGAAGCCAGAGGAGCCACTGTTGCAGGGGAAGGTGTCGCTGCGTGCGGTGCTGCAGCCTGGGGTGAAGCAACTGGCGTTCTCGTTTGGATTTGTGGCGTCCACCACTGTGAAGCCCTTCCAGCTGCAAGGCATTCTCTTCTCCTCCGTGCAAACAGGCAAGGCTTCTTTGGGGCAGGTGGGATGATGGTGACTGCCTTGATTGGTGGGGGGGTCGGTGGTGGTCGACAAGGTTGTTTATGATTGGTACTGACGTGATGTCTTCTACTAGTCCCAAAACGGACGTTTGAGTTCCCTTTGTTCTCACTTCATTCGTAGCAACCTTCAACAATCCATCTCATTTGCATGGTTATTTCGTTTCGTACCCATAAATTCCACAGTAGCTGAGATTTGGCCGTGTAAGCAATGTAGTGAGTGAATGGCGTGCTAAACCGAACTTAAAATCAGCTGGTTCATCCCGAACCAATTCGGTTTGATCACCCGGCCAGTTTGATCACTCGATCATTGCTCATACCCAATGAACAATACAGTAGGATGGGGTGTTTATTTGAGATGCTTTTCTGGGTACTGATGAAGATGGTGGCACCTGTCATAGCTAGGCCACTTTGGAGATGATGACAATGGTAGCCTTTTTGCATCATCTTGCCACTCCTACCCTATGGTGTGCTCTACTTGTCCAAGACCCAACCAGCAATCTATGACTTTTGTGCTTCTCTTTCTTGTGTCTATCTCAACAGTTGCTCCTTCACCCAAGGAAGTCCAGGTCAATAAGAAAGGTGAGCTCCCTGTCATGTGGCAACTATAAGCTGGGATGGTTACTGGCAGGTTTTGATCCGAAGATTGATGAAATTTCTCCCACCACGCCGTCGTGGTCCTGAAATATCACCGCCACAAAATCCTAGCTTGCTCAAGGAGTCAAGGGGGGTGTACAAGATGCGATTTATGAATCCAAATCTCCAGGGCGCAAAAATAAGCTGATCTCAGTGGGTATTGCCTTCATTTTTGTCACCTATCCTTTCTAACCGATTATTGACGTAGTTAGTCATTGTTGAGCACCATTTTTAGTGAACCGATTGTAGCTCAAGTTACTACGTGTCAGACTTCTTGGGGGGACAAACAGGTGCTTTTAATATCAGACCACGCCATGCCTCTCAACTCAACTCAACTGCTACCCCCATCCACATCTCTCTTTATGTCCAACCCTTCCTGCCCCTCACAGCCCTCGGCCTCTCATTATCGGAGGCCACATTTGCACCATCTCGAGCCAGTCCCTTTTCGCGCTATGTGAGTGCGGACTTCAAGCTGTCGGCCACCAAAGTGGACTCGTGGAGCAATCGTGACGACCACACGTGGGACTCCGTGCCCTTTCTCAACTGGCCCGTCAAGAACCAAAATGACTGCAGTGAGTGTGGAAAGGACCTGGAATTTCCAATTCACCATCTGAGCTGCATTTTTGCGGTGAGTGTGATCAACTGCAAAATGAAGTTACCAAGTACCGTTAATTGCATTTGTATTTTGTTGTCATCTAATGCTGCGTTCATTCCCAAACACCGTTGTGGTTTGTACCGTGTCCACACCGTGTCCATACAGCATTGTACGAGGCAGCATACTCCGTTGACCATCCATGCAAGGCACACACACTGCCGTAGTTAAAACTAGGGTTGGGCAAAAAAACGAACACCTGTTCCCCGAACAGTGTTCGATGTTCGCCCGAACACGTTCGTGTTGGGGCCGCTGCTGCAATTTGCCCCGCGACGAACACGAACATGTTCGAGGTTTGCCCGAACACGCCTTCACAGGCGAACGGCGAACACCATTTTTTGCTCAAAGTGTTCGCCGAACCGAACACTGTTCGGTTCGGCAAACGACGGTGGTCGTGTAGGAGCAAACACGTTCGTGTTCGCCCCTTGCTTATCCCTAGTTAAAACACATCAATAGGCACCAATGGGCGAATGGAAAGTCGAGGAAAACTTTTGCAAATTGTCAAATTTCGGGATTTATCGGGTTGGAGAGGTTGAGAATGGAATCTACACCCAAGTCAAGCCAGCTTTAAAACGAAAAATTTGTAACCCCCCTTTTTTATCACTCCGCCCTTCTTTGCATCACCTTTCTTGCTCTACCACTTCTCAGATGCGTGCTGGGCATATGCAGTGGTGGCGAGTGTGGAGGCGGCATACGGCATTGCAAAGCATCAGAGCGCTCCCCAGCTGGCAGTGGAGGCACTCTTTGCGCTCATGGGGCTCTCCGACTCTGACAAGTGCTCCGCTGGCGGCTCCCCTACCCAGGCCTTGGAGCAGCTGGTCGCTCTTGATGGCAGCAGTGGGCTCACAGGTGTTAGCGACCATGTAGGTAGAAGCATGAGGACGTGGTATGGTATGGTATGGTATGTATCACCTCATCCACACAGCTAACGGACGTAGAATGATAGGGAAAACAGCATGTAAACGTGCTATCGTGTGTATGGTCTGGTATAGTGAAACCACTTCATCCAACCAGCCAGCTACGCAAGTTTCTTGTTGTACGATTATCAATTTTTGTTCTTGGTGTCTGAGGCCCAGAAATACGTTGCTAATGTGCGGAGGCATCGCTATGTTGTGGTGTGAGATTAGTTTTTGTGCTTCTCATCATTTGCCATGTTCCTTTTCTGGTGGTCCCTCTTCGGGTGGGGCTGATGTACCCTTCCCTAGTTTCAGAACTCCTTCAACCTCCAGGCCTTCTCCAATCTCACTCCTAACCCCCACCCCACCTTTTCCCATCCAACAATTCTGCAATCTCGTGGCCCCAGGCAACAACGTACCCGGTGCAGGCTTTTGAGCGAGCGCAGTTCAAGGGGTATTTTGGGCTCATTCTGGCAGTGCAGCGGCAGCCAGTGGTGGTTCACATCGAGGCGTCTGCTCCAAACTTCATGCAGTATGATGGGGTGAGTCGTTGCATCTCACACTCAGGGTCAATATTTTCACAGATAGACGCATCACCTTTTGCCTACCTTTTGCTGAGGGTCATCACTTGGATGGCATGTACTTTCACAGATACACGCATGCCATCACTTTGGAATGCTGCAACCAGGCCCACAGCTTCGTCCTGTCTGACCTGTACTCTTTGGCTCCCACTTGGTGAATGTTCTGCCCCCACATCACTTCAGACTTACAAATATCAGGATCCTGGTTGCTACACGGGCAGTCTCAACCATGTTGTACTCGTTATTGGCTACTTTATCACAAGATATGATGGCAGCCAGAATCGCATTGCGCCTCCATTTTGGATCATCCGCAACTCTTGGGGAGAGGAGTGGGGCAACAGGGGCCACATGCGCATGGACATTCAGGGAGGGGATGGCGTGTGTGGCATCAATGTGCTGCCTGGCATCTACCCCATTGTCAAGAGTAAGGCGTCTACCCCATTGTCAAGAGCATGCCATATCTACTCTATCACGGGTGAGGTGAGCCGTATCTACCTCATTGTGAGGCAAAAGTGGTGCATAATATTCTAGCCCTTTTGTAAGTGGTCCGTGCTGCCAGCCATGCTTGCTTGCTCTCCTCACTTGTCAAAACCGCCTGTGTTCCTCAAAGGCACTGGGATAAATCATTACATCCGGAGGGGCCTGCAAAACAGAGGTTTGTTCGAGGCCCGTTTCCTGTCAGATTTTATAATAACGCCGTTCTGTGAACACTAGCTTCACTGCTACGAGTTTGGAAATCTCAATCATAAACAAGGTGTTGTATCCAAACCTGACCCAATGCTGTGGAAATGAGTGAAACGTACTTCGTCTAGGGTGCAAGTGTACGAATCTTCCCCTGTGAGATTGTGCAGTGGTGGGAAGGGGAAACCATAGAAAGTGGCGCATGGGCGCAAAGGGAAAAACTGTGATGTCTTTATCGAATATAGTACAACTGGTATTCGATCACTTACCTAACTAACAAGGAACTTGAACAGACATGCTACTTAATCTGCATTGGTCATGTATTCGCTTCCATTAAATGAGTAATTTTCAGAAATTTGAGTTAGTCGAGAGAGGCATTTGTAGTTAATTGGCATGAGCAGGGTTCTCTGGGTTGTTTAAAAACCATATCTGGGGTAACAAAGCTATTGAAAAACTCACTCGTGGAGCACCGTATGACCTAGGATATCTCAACCCCTAAGGTGTACACTAATATCTTGTAAACAGATACGAATCAGTACGTTTTTCTTATAACTACAACCCTGTTCAACTTAAATACATGCAGATACCAAACAATAGAGAAAAATGGAAGGGTAGCAAGTCAAATTCTAACAGACAAGACGAGGCAGCACCCGAGGTGGGGTTTACAACCCTGTCAGTACTGATGCACTGAGTTCTGCTTAACCACTGTGGTTCTCCACAAAGTGGCATGAGCTGCGTAGTTCCTTTCCTCAGAAGAAAGTTTACTTTCTCTCATCCTCCACCCTCCTCCATCTCCTCATGCTCTATATATGTGTATCCCCTGTGACACGTTCCAGTTCCGGGGGACCCCTGCGGAGAGAACAGTTACAAGGGCGATGGGGATTTGCAGCCCAGCATGAACCCGTGCGGCAGGTTCCACTGCCAGCAGAGGACAGCAAGCAGCAATAACTGCACCTGCAATATTCCTGACACTAATGTGCAGCCTTTTGTGGAGGTTGCGAATGGAGTTGGCTCCACATGTGCTTATGGTAAGCTACTAGCAAGTCAGGGGGTGAATAGAAGGGCATGTAATCTCGTTTCACGCATAATTATTTTGCGCTGTTGTAGCACGCGAGCGAAGAGAAAAAAGGTACAAAGGAAGAGAAATGAGGTGAGCGAAATGCTCTAGATCCTCATCCTGCATGTGTCCGATGTGTGTTGAAGGTACCCCAACTGCAGCGGCCAGAGGTGGCTGGGGGTGCGCATACCATATAACCCGTCTTTTCTCCCAAGGTTACCCCTCACTTTCATCTTTATAACCATGATTGTCTCAACTCTCTGTACTATCCGCCACCTTGTTTCAGTGGACGTGTGTGGGTCGTACTTCAAGAACCTCTGCTATGTGGGAGCATGCATCAACGATGGCAAGGGCTCCTACTCTTGCATCTGCCCTCCCAACCACGTTCAAAGCACAACAGTTGACGGTTTCCCCACCTGCGATCCAAGTAGGTGGCTTGAATTAGTTCATTGGTCTTGTTTGCCATTGAATATGCCTGGTAACCTCCGCTTGCTTGATGGGGCTCACATTTTTCATTTCTCCAGTTTTGTTCCGCTTCCTTCATATTTTCAATGGATCACTCTCTTTCCTTGCGTGTTCCTCACTCCTTGTTCTGCCTGCAGCTAATACTACGGCCACCACAATGATAGTTGGTGGAGACAACTGGAGGTGCTCGGATGTTCATATTCTCATTGGTCTCTCACTGGCTGCCTTTACTGTCCAAAATAGTGTGAGTGGATAGAGGTCTGGATGATATGAGCGGTCATTTAGCTCTTTCACTGACATGAAATACCCTAGAATGCTGTATTGGACTCGGAAGTGTGATAACCTTACTCCCCAGGACCTAGTGATGAGGAAAGGCCTTCTTTTTGTGGGATGTGGGGCAAAGACCTTACCCATGCACGCGTCTTCTAATGCAGGGCATCGACTGCAGCAAGCCGTTGCCCAAAGGCAGTGTCCTCCAGCTGGCTGGTACTCCTGCCACACCCTGCACTGCCTTCTTCTACTCCCTCAACGTGAGAGATTCTGTTTTCTTGACCACATCACACCGTTAACTCAACCAACTCACGTTGTCAACTCAGCACATTCCAGGAACCAGGGAAGTTTCAATAATTGCATGACGCATCACTTTCCCTGCCTTTGTTCAACCCTCCAGGAGGACACCTGTGAATCCATCAGCACAGCGCTCAACATGGAATACGAAGTTCTCGCTGCGCTCAACCCCGGCCTTGACTGCTCCACGCGCATCAAGGCTGGCCGTTCCGTGTGCCTTGAACGCAGTGCTGCTTTTGCATTCACCGTACCTGAGTGTGTGAAATTTGGAACGCTCACACCTCGGGACACATGCAGTCAACTGCTTAAGAGTAACAGCAAGCGCGCTCTTCCTTCGGAAGCTGATCCCAATGACAATTCACAAAAAGTTGCTAGTGCCAACGAGAATCCATGGGCTGCGCTGTACCGCAACAATCCCGGCCTCACTTGCTCCGCCACCATCCCTTCCTCTGCCTCCGCAATTGGCAGCAACATCGGTGTGCAGGTGAGGAATATGAGGGATGGAGGGACGACCTTGGGAAGTGGGGGGTGGAGTATGTGGGGAAAGGTAGGTGCGGTTTAAAGAGCTTTTGAAAAGAGTATGTGCCGTTTCGCATGTGCCTCAACTGTGCATTGCGTGTTAGTCTACTTCAGATTCTCCAATGCCCTTATGGATTCATGAAACTCTATTTGAACCCATCCATCTTATGATCCCAGGTTTGCCTCAGGGCGGAGTATTGGCCGTTCACGATGGGTATATGCAAGAAGGGTAGGATCAAGCCTGTCAAGCCATCAATGGCATGCTCGGCTACTTACCGCTTCTACGGTGGGGCTAGTGCATCACCAATCGCACGGTTTTACGAGTACAATGGTAGATCTTGCTCTGGAACTGTAGCAGAGAAGTCTATTTGCGTGCCATCGTAAACTCAAAGTGACGTCCAACTACCATATTTCACTGCGATTACCAGACCCCGAGGCAATTTTAACCGCTAAGGGCACAATGAGGACCTTTTTGCATACCATGAAGAACGGTGGGTGTGTAGTAAACTCCTGGTTTCTTGCTACAACAGTGCAATTATGGATTGTAATGCAAGTTCTCCATGCTGCTCGCACTAATCACTGCGTTTCAGGGTGTTGCCGTGATCCGTTTATACTTATTATATGACAAAGTTTTGTAGCACCTGGTTTGTTTGATATGACTTGATTTCTTTATAGGAGTTATAGATGCATCTGTGCATTGCCAGTTTTATTATTGATCATATCTCTACTTGGCTGCAAATCTCTGATTATGGCGCTCTAGGTCCTACTTATGAACATTCTTTACTGCCATAACCATTTTGCTCTCTACGTGTGAATCAGCTCCCTTATCATTTGTTGAAGTCACGTTTGAGCCTATTGTGACCATAAGAAAATTATCATCGGTGTCTGAAACCTCCCTCTCTCCCTTCATGTCCCTTCTGCTCTTGCTGCTTCTCTGTTGATCCTTACCCTTCCTTCTCATTGCTCCCACTCTCTCACCGCCTCTTCACTTCTCCATCACTGCTCTTCCTCCATTTTACCCCACTTTCTCCTTGCCCTTGCCCATGCTCTCCTTCTGTTCTGACCCCTCCTAAGTTCAGACCCTTCCTACATCCTTCAGACTGCTAGCTATGGCTCTGCTAGTAACTGCTTATCTTGGGAAAACAATTACAGTAATTTGCAAAAACATACACCCAGTAGCAGTCCCATGGCCCAGGTTCTCTCCTTAAGCTTTCCACTCATACCCTGGCTAGGCAACTCTAGCAAATGATGAGAGAGGAACTACCTAGCTTGCCATCCAGTTCGTCGCCCTGCCTCCTTCCAGCTGGCGGTCCTGTCTTTCAGCTCCCCCTGGACTTGGTGTCTCCAAAACAAAAAGAAGCATTCGCATGCACACCACACAACTATTCATTCGCCAGCAAGTATTCGTCCCTTCGCTGCCAGCCGTGTTACCCTGCCACCCTCCTCGCACAGTCCCCCTCCCTCTGCCATTTCCCACCCCGTAACTGCCCACATTGCCAAGTTGCCCGCCCAAAGTTCCACTTTAGCCCTCTCTTATCCTCGCTGCCTGGAGCTTCGACTATATACAAGTATACAAGTTCCTCCAATACACCCTCAACCCACCCTCTGTCAGAAGTTCTTAGGCATAAACCTCAGAATTCTGACAGCTGTAAGAAACCTCCCTCTCTCCCTTCATGTCCCTGCTGCTCTTGCCACTTCTCTGTTAATCCTTACCCTTCCTTCTCATAGCTCCCACGCTCACCGCCTCCTCTTTTTTCTCCGTCACTGCTCTTCCTCCTTTTACCCCACTTTTTCCTTGCCCTTGCCTGTGCTCTCCTTCTGTTCTGACCCTTCCTTCCCCCTCCCATGACGCTCGGCAGCCGTCCTCGAGCACGTCATGGGACCTGAGGGTCCTGCCTTCTCATTCGCCTTCTCAGTGCGGATCCTGGCCACGTTCGTAATGTGGTCGGCCACGCTTTTTCCCTTCCCGTCCGCCAGGACTATTACTCATGACTGCTTCACCTCCTTAACTGTCCATTGCTGCTGAGACAAGCCCACATCCAGTACATGCCTGCGTTGCCTCCTCAGGTACACTTCTTCTCCCTCCTGCACCCCTGCTCCAGTTTCCTTACCCGCCGCTTCCTGCCGCTGCTTGTACCTTTCTATGCCTCGGAGCTGTGCCACATGCAGGTTCTCTAGTGCAGACGGAAGTAACTGCTGCAAGTAGGCCGCCTGCGCTTCTGCCACCGCAATTCATTTCTCCACTGAGCCCGTAGTAATCACATCCACCAGCAACTTCGGAGCCTCCACAATCATCACCGGTTCCTTGCCGAACAAAAGGTAGTGCGGTGAGACATCTCTGAGCGCCGCCTGCTTACTGAATCAGTACCACGCCATCAACCAACACAGTTTCTTCTGCCTCTCCATATGCCACCAGCCTTCTCTTCACTGTCTGCACCAACCTCTCTGTTAGACCATCGCTCTGCGGGTGATACCAAGACGTGCTTCAGTGCCAGATGCCACTGGCCTTCAGCAGCTTATCAAACTCTCCCTGGAACTCCGTGCCTTGGTCTGTCAGCACCTCGCCACATGCCCCCAGTCGGGTGTTGACCATCTCCACGAAAGCCTCCGCTACCGCCTCTGCCGTCTTGTGCACCAAGGGCTTTGCTTCTGCCCACTTGCTCACGCGTTCCACCATGAGCAGGATGTACCTTCTCTCTTTTGTTGTCACCGGCAAATCCCCCGTGATATCTAGAGACCACCTATAGCCCAAGCTGACTATGGGGAGAGGCTGTAGCTTGGCCTTGTCTCGCTCCATCACTTCTCGGTTCCTGCAGCACGCCTCACGGCGCCACGCCCAATCCTTTATCTTCTTTTGCATACCTGCCCACCACCATCCTGTCTGCACCAGCTGCTGAGCCCTGAGCAGTCCGTAGTGCCCCAACTTTTCATGCACCTCCCGTATGATGCCCTCTCTCTCTCGTGGAGCTGGCACATGCTTCCACACTTAGCCGGTTCGCAGCTGTTTCTGCCATTTGCACCAGCGATATTATTCGCCTCTGGCTCGCACCCTTGCGGTAGTTGCTCCTCCTTCCCTTGTTGCCCCCTGAGTCCAAGCCAGCGCCTCCTTGTCTTCCCAGATATCTGCTGGCCCCCCCTTCACTTCCCCACACTCCCTTTCCTTTGCCATGGCCATCAGGCAGGTAGATGGCTGCACTGCAGGCGGGTTGCGTGACAGTCCATTCACATGTTGCATGGTCTTGCCTAGCTGATGCTTTATCTCAAAATCGTACTCCTGCAGCTTCATGGCCCACCTCGCGTTGCGCCTCGTCAATCAAGAGTTTGCATCAACCATAGCAATGGCTGGTGGTCTGTAACAAGTGTGAACTTCCTAGCATGCAAGTATACTCGGAAATGTTTCACCGCCCACAACACAGCCAGTCCTTCCCCTTCTTATGAGTAGTTCACTTCCGCAGCGTTGCAGCTTTGGCTTGCGAAGGCCACCAATTTCTCCACTTCACCCTTCATTTGAGTCAGCACTGCCCCCATGCCCGCACTACTCCAGTCGGTGTACAACGTGAAAGTTACACCCGCCTTCGGCAGCTCTAGGACTGCGCCATTCTTGACCGCTCCCATCAGATCCTGCACTGCCTTCTCTTGCTCTGGTCTGTGATAATAAGCAAACAGGAATGAAATGACTAAGTCAGGGTTGGGTACAAATACAAACCTAGAAAGCTGTACCCCATATGTGCTACCCCACTATAGCCTACAAACATGCATCAGCTATAGTAATCTGACACACCCCCATAGGCAAAGTGGGGGAGAACAAGGGGTCACAAGACCAGTCAAGCAAAGCAAAGCAAAGCAAGCTCAGGGTGGATCACAAAGTCACCACACAGTCCGAGCACAAGAGCAAGACGAACGAGTAGACCACCACGAGACAGAGCCGGAACCAAGACTGAAGGTGTAACCCTGTGACGACCGCTGCGTAGCCTGGTCGTCAGCCCAAGAAGCGTCCGCGTGGCCTGTAAGGACCACTGGACTCCGCCCTCCAAGCACTAGCCCCATGCCCGACGTACTGCACAGGTAGCGCAATACCCTCTTCGCTGCAGCCATGTGCTCTGGTCGGTGTCTCCTAGGAGCAACATAGCGTGCAAGAATGCTCAGAGGGTATGCAAGGTCAGGTCGAGTGCAGGTCATCAGGTACATGAGGCAGCCAACAAGCTCTGGGTACGGGCCACTCGACTCTACGGACTCATCCGAAGGCAGAGCTGAGAGCGAGTGGCGAGTAGACAGAGGAGTGGCCTGAGGCGAGGAGTACGTGAAGCCGAAGCGCTGAAGGACCTGCTGCACCATGTGTGACTGAGTCAAGGTGATGGTGCGGCGTGCTCTGTCCCGAGTGATCTGCAAGCCAAGGTAGCTGCGCAATTCACCCAGGTCAGTGCACGTGTGTCTCTTCAGCAGCTCGGACTTCACGTAGGCGAGTCCAGCAGTGTCCGCTGTGGCAAAGACCAAGTTGTCGACGTACACGAGGATGCAGAACGGCGGCAGTGAAGTGTCGGTGCGCAGAAAGAGCGACGGGTCAGCAGTAGACGGAGCAAACCCAAGAGCCGCAAGCGTAGTCCTCAGTGTGTCGTGCCACTCACGCGGTGCCTGGCGGAGACCGTAGACTGGCCGTCGGAGGCTCCACTGGGTGCCAGGAGGGAAAGTCCCAGTGAAGCCAGGTGGACGGCGCAGCCAGATCTCCTCGTGCAGGCTACCCTGCAGGAACGCAGTGCTGAAGTCGAGAGAGTGAAGCTCGTAGTCGCGCTGAGCGGCTATGTGCAGCAGCACCCGAAGAGTGGTCATCTTCGGGGTGGGAGAGAAGGTCTGAAAGTAGTCAACTCCCTGCCGCTGACTGAAGCCACGAGCAACGTACCGCGCCTTGAAGACAGGTGGAGAGCCCGGTGGCCGCTTCACCCGGAAGATCCACATGCCACTGACGATGTTCGCCCCAAGAGGGGGAACTGCGTCAACGTAGGTGCCTGTGGACTTCCAGGAAGCCATCTCTGCATCCATAGCTGCCTGCCACTGAGAGGAGTAGGGACCCTCTACGGCCTCCGCGTAAGAGCGCGGAGTCGGGATGTCTAGTGCATCCGGGTCTCCCTCAGGAGCAAGCAGTACAGAGGCGAGATGAGGTGAAGCAGCAGCCAGACACTGTAACTCCTCCTGCCTGTCCTCTAGGACGTCCGTGCCAAGAGCACACTCACCCCCGACGGACGGAGGACAGACAGACGCAGACTCAGCAACAAGACTAGCAGGGTAGTCTAGACGATAGCGAGCTGCAAAGTCGACGAGCTCAGCGACAAGAGCAGACGCAGCAGTGGACTCAAAAGAGGGGTCAGCGACGACAGTAGCAAGCAGAC